CTCAGAATATTTCCAAGTTTCAAAGCATTCTCGTTTAGCGTGCAACACAGACATGCTGCTCTAATCACAAACCTCTGTTGGTGCTATGAACATGCTGGCTGTTTCAGTCAGCACAGTGATGCTGTTGTGCATGGCCGCTTTAGACATACTCAAATATCATAGCGCCTAACTTCTTTAAATAGATTTGTCGACCAATTGATGTAAGAAGGCGGGACCGGCCATCTTCCCAGTGCAAAAAAACGCGGATACTGTAGACTCTTGAGTGCGAAATTGAAAGGTGTGTTTGTTAAGATTGGGTAGAAGGAATTTGGAATACCAAGGAGTGAGGAATAGAAATAAGATGTCACTGCGAGAGTGAAGATTTTGAAATGGCAATTGATAAAACAGGTTGCGAGGCAACTAACCATTGCTTTACCAAAGAGATTTCAGACGTGATTGTAGAGAATGGAAATGGTCGGTGGGAAGACGTCGAAATGGATTCCAGGAGAAGCTCAAGAAATTTTTAAATCAATGGGGATAGAAATTATGGGCGATATAAGGGAATTTGTGACAAAATTCGTAGGAAGCCATCATCTCCCGTCGAATCTAATCGGAAAAGTTTGTTGCCCACTCTCCCGCGCTGTAACTGGGTATTATTGAAGATTTTATTAAGCAATAAGCGGCTAAGTTATGGAGCTAATCATTGCAGGTTGTCAATCAATCAACGGTTAGACGTCGGGCCATATGGTTCATGTATACTGAAAGCTTGAAATTTCTGTGTATGGAAAATCGGTAAGCAAAAGCTGATAGGATGACTAAGTTTGGGACCACTGAAAATGAATGAAAATATTTCCTGAGCTGAAATTCCCACAACTCAAAAGCAATGTTGGCCATAAAAGGGCATAACTGAAGACAGCTACAGAGTCAGACGTTTACTTTGTGCTATTTTATGAAATTTTCAACTAACCAATTGTACAACATTTTATGGATGATTTTAGCTTTAAAATATAAATACATAAAGGATCTCATTCCAAGTAATACTTTGAAATATAAAAAGTTGTGTTCACTGAATTTCTTCAAATTTACAAGAATTTATATTATTCCTGTTACTTTTATGAATATATTGAATTTATGTTTACATGATGTCTATACAGCAGAGAAGCCTCCCCTTCTGGAATGGATGCTGGATAATTGTTCTTTCATATGAGCTTCAACTACAGCTTTCTTAAGGAATCTTAGAATAACATGGCAGGGTATATAATGAACTGTCGATTTCTTAATTCAAATGCAGTCTGTTTGCTTGTTCAGGTCGTTCGAATATTCTTAAAATGAAAGAGACCACTCAGACTCTGGCACAGGATCGGGAACGTTGGAAGGACTGTCTGACGCGTCTGCCTCCGCGACCCGAAAGGAGAAGCGGCGATGGAAGATGATGATGAAAGAGACCACGTAAGAGAAGGAGCAACTTACATTTCTTAAGACAAAAGACTGTTAAATTATGCTATCAATTGTATGGGTAATTAGTCCCTCGAATATTTTTTTGATAAAGTTTCCTAACGAAAAAAATATGCCGCATATTCACTGTAAATACTTTTTGATGAATAACATATTCAAACTTTATAAATAATACACATTGAATAAAACGTTTTGGTCCAAAACTAAGGTTTCCGCTAATGTTATCAGCCTTCATCTACTGTAAACAATATATAGTGGTACGGTTATGCAACATTGTCAAGATGTAATCGGAGTTGAAGTTTCCTTATTCAGTTTACAATCAGAGCCCATGGCGTCATGTGATCTCACGACAAAGAAAAAAAGCATCACTAGTTACATCTTGAGAGTAGTTATGACCGTATCACTGCACACGTTTTGCAGTTGATACAGGCTGATAACCTTGGTTTTGGGTCAAAAGCTTTATGTCATGTGCATCATTGAGAAAATTTGAATACTTAACTTATGAAGCAACCCGCGATTTCAAGTAAATATATTAAATGTTTAGCTAATTAATGCCTGAGACTACTGTAGATGAATGATATCGATCAGCAGGTGACTCAGGAGTACTTTGCTAACGGTAGCTAATCGGAAACATGCCATTTAAAAGTTGCATTTCTTCAACCACAAGCAACACATAAATCGTGATTACTTTTCATATAATTTGTCCAAGATACTGTATGACTGACGTTTGCACTGGTCGGTGACTTCGATCATCACTTTGCGCAAAGCCAGCTTCTGATCCTTCACGAAGTTCCATTCCGCTCTCCAATATGTCGCGTTAAAAATTCTTTCGCCATCTTCTGTAGTCTAAAAATATTACGTCAATTTTTAGACCATATTAATATTGCGTTGTTTATGTGAGATTCCGCAAGTAGCCGGTTGGCTGATGTTTGCAAAATGTGTGCAGAAGCAGCATGCAGGAAAAGAGCACAGATAAACTCAACGGAGACTATAGTACCGATCTGGAGCAACTAGCATAAAATTGCATGAAATAACTTGACCATATTTAAGGTCGATCATTTCGCATCCTATTAACTAAATGACCAAAGGTACCCATGGCTGAGAGCTACAAGTGGCTCTGTGCATTAGCCCAGTGCCAAAGCTAAAACGCCAGACTGTTACAGAACGCTTTACTCCACATTACAGATGACTGACAATTAATACAGTGTGCACACCCATTTTATAGTGCATTTTTTTTTACTGTATTTCAGTGTCAACGGTAGTGATGTTTTAATTGAAACTACGAAAACTGCAACTAACCGTTGCAAATGTTACGTCATCTGCTGAAGCGACATCGATGCATGCAACAAACCAATGAGGTCATGAGTTAAATGTTAAAATTCCACTTTCCAGAAGAGCACTGAACGTATCTCTAGTCGACTTACCTCAGTGGAATTCTTCAGTTTTCTGGGGCACTCCGGACTCCCATATGAATATAACCTGCGAAAACAACGTGAAACGCATGTGAACGAGAAACAGAATAGAAACAGCGTACGATGAAGATGTCAGACGAGACTGATTCCACGGCGAGCACGCCATGTTTAGCAGCTTCCCTATCGAGCAATGTATGTTGGGCAGGCTTTTCGTAGCATAGCTGGCGCCATCGCTGCTGCGACGCCGTTCCTGAAAAAAAATCTTTGCAAAATTGTGCTTCTCAGTTTAAACAGTGATACAAATTGTGGCCAGCATCGGCCAGCAAAATCAACGACTCACTGAACCCTACAGAAGGCCTGTGAAACATACATCAAGAAGTCTGGCAGTCTGTCGGTCTCTTAGACCACAATTCCATATTGTGTAATGCTAAACAGCTTGTTCCGTGGTATTTTCAGGTGCTTTGCACTGCCGTTTTGTGACTCCTTTTATTGCATCCTTAACGATGAGCACTGCCACGGCTACCAGACACGTCGATGTTTAAATAGAACGCAGTTACGATTACTTGTTCTTAGAACTTCCACAAATGGAATCAGAAGATGAAATGTCTAAAGGCCTATTAACTTTGTTGGGCCTGAGTTTCGTGGCCTCATCGTTGTTCTAATTTCTGGTGCTCACTGGCGTCAAGTGAGAACATGCTACTTCGTTTCGCCCGGTACGTTGTGGCCCTCACCACATCACGAATCAAGCACTGGTTCTAAGAGCAGTTTTCGACCTGGCAGAATCGACCACAGTCGGCAAGCTGACGGACCCGGTCAAGCGCAGAACATTAAGGGGCCAGCTTGACCTGAAAATGTGCTGGCTGCTTGCAGATTCCAGACAATATCAACTGAGTTACCCACGGACAATAATAGACGGTGATGTGTTATTTGTACGTTGGCTACTGGCGAACCGAAATAAACAGCACGTAATGGCACCAAAGAAAAGTGTCACACATGCCATTCATGAATGTTGTCATAAAAAAAATATTCAGTAACATTTTAATCGATGCATAGCATTATAAATTATTGCATAATATAAAAAACAGCATAAAACGTGGTTCATTTATAAACAGGGCAAGCAGAATGGTCAAATGGATGATTAAACAATACGGAACTTTTCACTGGTATCTCATGAACCTTATTTACAGTAAAAATGCTGATGGACTTTGGGAATTTTTTCTGTCGTTAGCAACAGTTGGTGTCTGTGGAGCCAGAAGGCGAGCTACTCGTCCGCGCTGTTGGCTAAGTGGTTTCCTGCTAAGAGGTTTATTTTATCCGCGTAGAGTTGGTATCTTTTGACCCCTGTGACGTTGTCGCAGAAAGGAAGGAATTAGCCAATTAGAGCGACGTAAGAACTTCCGACGACAATCAACCTCTTCACCCTAGAGAAGGCCTGTGAGACACCGGCCAAAATATTGGTGCTGGTTAGTCAGAAGGCTGAATACTTCGTTTGTGCTTTGGTACTCATACTGGAAACAAGCTAAAATATGGATTATTCATAAACAACGCAAAAAACGTGGCCACTCAGATGATTCGTGAGTACTAAAGTTGTAGTCAATGTCAGGTAAACATGTTGGTTAACTGACCTAACGAAACTCAGTGAGACAAGGGTCGAAGTTTCGGCTATAATCAATCATTCGATTCACCATTTTGTTTGCCTCGCGGACCAGTAAACGCGTATTATGCAGCAGTATGACCCCCATCGCACAAACAAAATACCGTATCAGTATTATATGATGATTATTAAGTACAAAAACAGTTAATTTCTCTATCATACATGTCTGTTTAGGTCTTCGATCAGTGTTCAGTCACAAAAATCATTATAGAATTCAAAAAGAATACAAAAACTGAAAACATTACTTGCCTTGTAGTATTTCTTCCTAAAATTCTCTAGTGCTTCTGC